TCGCACCGCCTCCGGCAGCGCGGGAGCGTGGGGCTGAGACACAGAAGCGGCACTTCCCGGGCCCGCCCGCCCTGCCGAGCAGCTGCGCACTGCTGTGCCCTGTCCCCTCCAGACGCACCCTGCTCATTCAGCCTCCCAGTAGCTGTGCGTCTGTCTTCTACGTTAGAGCTGCTCTCACAGTCGTCGTCTTTTTTTTTTTTTTTTTAGGCCAGTATGGTACATTCATTGATTGAAGCGTATTCCTTACTTGACCAGATGAAGTAAGTGCTCCTGTTTTCTGTGAAGAGAGTATTTTCTTCTCTGCTAAGGTTTGGAAGATACTGAGTAACTGCAGGTCGTATACTGTCCCTGCTGGCAGCATGATTATAGAAGCCCACACACAGTACGTGTTTCTAAGATCTAAGGAAAGTCAGCTTGTTTTGCTAAATGGGCAAGATTATGGTAATTATGGCAGGTGTAACTTATGGTTACCCTTCCTGGTCCTATGGAGTACCGATTGCCTTGTGCTTTCTCCATAGAGTACAGTGTCACCTGCTGCTCTCATGGTTCTGAGCAGAAACCATCCTTGTTGGTGCTGCTCCAAATCCGCTGGCCAGTACTGATGCTGAGAGGGACCATGTTGTTTTGCTGTGTTAAGGTTGATTTGGGAGACTTTTTGTAAAGTCTTGGTGGTGTTCAGGAGATAAGATGAGATCTGAGGCAGAAGAGTGAGAACCCTCCTGCCCCGTTAACCTCTTGACACTGGGTGATACGAAAGGGGATGTCCTAGGTTATGATGTAAGATGTGCCCAAAAGTATGTATTCTATCACCATCTTCATGAGCGTGAAAAAAAGGCTTAGCTCAGCTTCTCTTATGCAGCATCTCATAAAATCTTAAAAATATTGCATGCTTCAGTTCAGCAGAGCCAGAAAGTCCTACTGGGACTTTTCTGTTAAAGGATTTTTTTTCTTTCTGGTCATTTTGGTAGAGCGTGCTTGAGAAATGGCTGCAGGTACCATTATAGAGGCAGACTGAAAGGGCTGTTCACCCTGGCATGGGGTGAGAAGTGCCCAGCACCTAGGCTAGCCAAGAGCTGGGAGCTTCTTGCATTCTTCCAGTAGCAATGGAGCTGTACTGCGTTGTCTGTGTGTGCTCCCAAAGTCTGAGAGTTGGAGAGGGCTTCAACTTGTCAGAAGATTTAGGTAGGCAGATTGTGAAGTGCCCAAACCTGGCGCAAAGGTGATGTGTGAGTCACTGGGAACAGAGACGGCCTCTGCTTTGAATGCAGATGGAGTTAAGTGCATGTAAGAGGTGCTGCTCAGCTCTTGACCCAGTAGGCTGGTATCTTGCCACAGCACTGGGCTGGGCCTGGATATTTTCACTCTGTTATTTCCTCTGTGTGTAACCATAGTGTTGGATCAGCTGGGAATTGCTGAAACTGGGAGAACATGCAGAAAAGGGAAGAAACTTGAGGCAAAGTGGAAGGGTTAATGCAGGCAGCACCTGCAGGTGGTACTTGTTGGAGTGGGCACAGCAGACAGTACCAAGCTGGGGGAAAGGCCTACTCCAGCTCAGCTGAGCATCTTTCTCACTCAAAGTAACAGTCCAGTGCAAGAGGAGGAGGAGGTTTTGTTTGCTTTTTCAATGGTAACTGCCAAAAGAAGGCTCCTAGTCTTAGGAAGTTCCAGATGAACCGTGGAGCCTCTTGTCCTGACGTGCTCCCTTCCTCTCTCTGCCTAGGATAGTCAAGCCAAAAGTGGCCTCCATGGAGGAGATGGCGAGCTTCCACACGGATGCCTACCTGCAGCACCTGCAGAAGGTCAGTGAGGAGGGGGATGATGACCATCCGGAATCTGTGGAGTATGGACTGGGTAAGGATGTGTATCTTCAGTGAGAGATTAACTGAGTATCAGGTCCAGGATGCTTTTTGCTGGAGCTGAGGTTAGACAGAGAGATGAGCTCAGGTGGGCTGCTGGGCTGTTTACAGAGGGAAACAGTCTTCGGTGGGGTGTTGCGGAACCGGGTCAGCCAGCGGTCATCTGTCAGGCTGGTGTTTTCACTGTTGCCAGCAGAGGGTAGTGTCAGCCTCATGCTACTGCTTTGAGTATCTCAGGCAGGACAGAAGGCCCTGACATGCTGCCCTTGGAATAGTGCTGAGACTGGCTGCTGCGAGCCTGCTGTGGTGGAGGGCATGCGTGAACAACGGCCTGAATGAAGCTACAGTCAAAAAACAGAGCGGGTGCTGTTTGTCTGATGACTTCGCTTCCATCTTCAGTGGAGGGTTCTTGCCTGCCTGGATTTAAGACAGCCTGAGCAATGCAGTATGACAGCAGTTATACTATAACAGTTATACTATATATAATAGTTATAATAACAGTTGAGGTGGCTGTGGGTACTATCTTAGCCTTAGGAGTGATCCAGCACTAAGGCAGTGGTGCAGATTCTGTGCTGATCTCATGAGTCTCCCCCTAGATCTGCCCTTTACATTTCTGAAGCTAATCTGTCTGCAGGCAGAAGAGCAGCCTTGGGGTCTTGCCTTACTGGAGAATGGCTCCAGGGAGGTTGCTGTAAGAGCAGGTGAAGATCATATTCTAGGTATAGACCTGCAGTGTAGCTAGGCCTGTCCCCTTTGTGGATGTCTGGTTTTGGAGGGAGACACATCAGTGACCATGTCAAGACTTTCCTGGTAGAGTAGCCAGAGAACAGGAAGCATTTTTGCAAGATTGGTATGAGGGCTAGCCAGTCACACAGATCAGAAGTTGGTTCAAGACTCATCTGTGAATGATCTGAGTGCAAAGAAACATTTTGATTGTTGATTTTTGTTGTAGGTTAACCTTGCCTGGTTGCCAGGTGTCCAGCAAGATTCTCCTTCTCTCCCCCTCCTCAATAGAGTCGGGGAGAATATATGATGGAAAAGATGGGGGATTGAGAGAGGGGCAGGGAGATCACTCAGCAGTTACCATCACGGGCAAACCAGACTCGACTTAGGGAAATTAATTCAATTTATTGCTAATTAGTAACAAAGTAGGGTAGTGAGAATTGAAAACAAAACTAAAATCACCTTTCCTCTCATCCACCCTTCTTTCCAGACTCAACTTCACTCCCAGCTCTTCTACCTCCTTCCCGTGTGAATAATGCAAGGGGGTGGGGAATGGAGGTTGTGGTCGGTTCATCACACGTTTCTGCTGTGCCTTCCTGCTCAGGGGAGGACTCCTCACACTCTTGTCCTGCTCTGTCGTGGGGTCCCTCCCATATGAGACAATCCTCCACAAACTTGTTCAACATGAGTCCTTCCCAGGGGCTACAGTTCTTCACGAACTGCTCCAACATGGATCCTTTCCATGAGATGCAGTCCTTCAGGAGCAGACTGCTCCAGTGTAGATTCCCCCACGTGGTCACAAGTCCTGCCAGCAAGCCTGCTCCGGTGTGGGCTCTCCATGGGGACACAGCTTCCTTCAGGCACATCCCCGTGCTCTGGTGTGAGGTCCTCCGTGGGCTGCAGGTGGTTATCTGCTCCACCATGGACCTCCATGGGCTGCAGGGGGATGGCCTGCCTCACCGTGATCTTCACCATGGGCTACAGGGGAAACTGCTCTAGCGCCTGGAGCACATCCTCCCCCTCCTTCACTGACCTTGGTGTCTGCAGGGCTGTTTCTCTCACATATTCTCACTTCTTTCTCCTAGCTGCCGTGCAGCGTTTTTTACCCTTCTTTCAATATGGTATCACAGAGGCGCCACCAGCATTGCTGATGGGCTCAGCCTTGGCCAGCAGCGGGTTTGTCTTGGAGCTTTGTCTGTCTGACACTGGTGCAGCTCCTGGTTGGTGTCTTCTCACAGAAGCCACCCTGCAGCCGTCCCCGCTACGAAAACCTTGCCAAGAAAACCCGATTCAATTCTTTTTCCTACTTACGTCCCCTAAATCAGTTGTGTGAGTCCAAATCTGATACCTCTTATGAGGGTATTGTGCCTGGAACAGAAAGGTAGAGCGGCAGTTAAAAGAGAGATGGCTCAAAACAAAGAGAATGTGCTTCCCTCAGAGGAAAAGGCCTGTTGTGTCTGACACACAGACTCTTACCTGCAGGTTACGACTGTCCGGCTACTGAAGTCAGCTGTGGGAGGAGCCACCATCACCGCAGCCCAGTGTCTGCTGGACAGCAAGTGCAAGGTAGCGATTAACTGGCCTGGAGGGTGGCATCATGCAAAGAAGTAAGAAAACAATCTCTTCCTTTGTGTTTTCTCACCTGGTGTCTGAACCCCACCTCCCAACTTTTCTGCAAATCTTCAGGGTGCAGCCATCGAGGTGGAAGAGAGAGCAAGGTCTGAGATGAGTGAGGGAAGGCAGGAGGTAGGAAAGAAGCAGACTGTAGGGCCGAGGCCTGAGAGTAGGCTGGTTACTGCCTTGTCCTGGTGCTATCATGGACTGCCATGCGGGTCTGGGGCAGATGTAGTCAGAAGTGTCCTGCCATCCACTGAAACTTGGTCATCTCTGGGAGTTCAAGTGTGAATTGATTTTGCAAAGTCCATAGAGAAGGACTGAGGAGGGGCAAATGGTTAGTGTTGCTTGGAAGAGAATGAGAATGTGGCAACATGTTGTCTGAATTGGTTTATGTGGCTTTTTTGGTTTCTTGATAAGAGGTTTCAAACAGTGTGGGACTGACCTCTGATTTTCCCCGTGCTCTGTGGATGGCTGTTTGCTCTGAGCTGTAATGTCAATAATGATCTTCCAGAACAACAAGAGAGGAAGTAAAAATTTCATCCGTGAATCCTGTGATTCTGTAATGGTACAATAATTTGTTTCCGTGTGTGTTAGGTTTGTGCGGTGGGGTTTTGGTAGCTGGGGAGGGGCTACAGGGGTGGCTCCTGTGAGAAGCTTCTAGAAGGTTCCCCAGCTCCAAGTTGGACTAGCCTCTGGCCAAGGCTGAGCTAATCAAGTAAACATAAACATATTTAAGAAGGGAAAAAAGAAACTTCTGGGGGGTAACTTGCAGCAGAGAGAGAGGAGGGAGGTGGGGACTGCGCAAGTGGCTGCCTGTGGGGCTGACAGGGTTTGTCGGGCTGGTCGGGCCCAGTGCAGCTGCAGGGGAGAGAAGAGTGGGATGTGAGAGAAACAACTATGCAGACACCAAGGTCAGTGAAGAAGGAGAGGGAGGAGGTGTGCCAGAGCTGAGATTCCCCTGCAGCCCCTGGTGAGATAGCAGGCTGTTCCCCTGGAGCCTATGGAGAATAACGGTGGAGCAGAGATCCACCTGCAGTCTGTGGAGGACCCCGCGCAGGAGCAGGTGGCTGCACTTGAAGAACGCTGTGACTCCAGAGCATTGCTGAAGCCCGTGCTGGAGCAGTGTGTTCCTGAAGGACTGCACCCTGTGGAACAGGCCCATACTGGAGCAGTTTGTGAAGAACTGCAGCCCATGGGAAGGACTTACATCAGAGAGCATGCAAGACTGTCTCCTGTGGGAGGGACCCCACGTTGGAGCAGGGGAAGGGTGTGAGGAGTTCTCCCCCTGAGGAGGAAGGAGTGGCAGAAACAACATGTGATGAACTCACCACAACCCCTATTCCCTGTCCCTCTGCACCACTGGAGGGGAGAAGGTAGAGAAATGAGGAGCAAAGTTGAGCCTGGGAAGAAGGGAGGGGTGGGGGAAGGTGTGTTTAAGATTTGATCTTATTTCTCATCCTACTGTGATTGGATTGGTAACAAGTTAAATTTATTTTTTTCCCCAAGTTGAGCCTGTTTTGCCCATGACCGTAATTTGTGAGTGATCTTTCCCTGTACTTGTCTCGACTCACGAGCCTTTCGTTATATGGTTGGGATGGAGGAGTGAGCGAGTGGCCACATGGTGCTTAGTTGCTGGCTAGGCTTAAATCACGGCACCATGGCTTCCCTGTTTTCCATGGATGTATGTTTTATCTTAACTCGTGTCCCTCATCTCCCAAAACATGAGGCCTGTCTGCAAATACAGGCAAGACAGCACCCTTCCTTGTCCCCTGCTGACTGGCCTTTGCAGTGCTGTTCTGTTTCCCTGGGGACCCCAGAAATTAGCATGAACCACATTTCTAATCCTAACAACTTGAACATGAGCGCACAGGTTACTCTCCTTGCTCTGGTGACTTTTCTGACCTGGCAGAGAAACTCTGCAGGTGTTACAGTGGTGTACAAATTCCAGTGATGGCAGCGTCTCATCAGGACTCTTCTTGGTCATCACTTTGCTGAATATGGGTTCAGCTACGACTTGCGGAGAAAGGAGAGAGTTTAGCTTGGCTGAGCTGAGGTCTCTTTCTCTTCGCAGGACGGATGTCTTTTAAAAAATCTTCTATTCTCTTTTGTCTTGATTATGTGGTTTATAACATGCCTGCAACAGAAGAAGTCTTAGCAGTGTTGCTGCCATTGAGCTGTGCTTTTAGCACTGTTCTGGTAAGCAAACGGTCTGTTTAAAGACATTTTATACTTACTGATCCCAAAGGAGCCTTGCCAGTCAACCCAGCGAGGTAGCGTGGGATGCTGCAGCATAGGCAGCAGCTCTGATAGGTGCCAGTCCAGTGTGAAGGTCCAGCCAGACTGACACCCAACTGCAAGTGCCTGGTGCTAGGACCTGTGTCCTAGCAAATACGTGTCTTTTTGTGAAAAAAGACCTGCTGTCTGGTAGCTTAGTTAATTTACACAGTCGTAAAGGCAGGAATGGTAACTACTGTCAGCAGAAGGTGAAATGCTAAGTCGGTGCCTTTTCTTGACCGAGCCCTGCCCTCCCTTCTGACAGTGACAGTCTGAGCTCTGCTGTGTGGATCCGTGAGGGGGAAAATCCCAACTGCTGGCCCTGACCTGCAGCTCTGATGCTCATCAGCCTCTGTCCGAGCTGCTGTCCTGCTCTGCTTGGCCTTGAGTTTGAAAGAGATCCTGTGTTACAGCATGGAGAGAGTACCCGAGACATGACATAGTTCACTTTGCCTCCTTGCAGGCTGGGAAGAAGGAGAGGAGTACGGTGTGTAATCACACTTAAGGAAGATTCCAAGGGTACTTGTAACATCCCAGTTCTCAGCATCGCTGTAAATGAAGGGAGTCATTGGGAAGCATCTGTGCTGCATGACATTTGCAGGGGGTGAGAGCAAGTGCAGTTCTGCCACCCCGCGCTTGCTCCTTACCATTTCCAGCTGTTTGTTGAGCAGGGAAGTGTTGGGGGAAATGAGCCAAGTGCGCTGTGACTGAAAGTCAAGAGGCATGTCTTAGATTCTGGAGTCGTTTGAGCCAGGGAAGGAGGGCTTTGGACACTCCTGTTGCAAAGTATACAGCTTTGGTTTAAATCAGCTATCCAGGGCTGACCTAAGAGTGTCTATGGGCTAGAGCTAAGTGGTGACAGAGACTTGGCTTCGAAGCGAGTCTGGAGTAGGGATTAAGAAACTTTCTTGTTCCTTTGATGCCATCAATATGGAAGCTGCCCCGTGATGTATGTCAGGGATAAATCTTTCCATGCAACATCTGTCTTCTGTTTAGGAGCTGGGGCTGTCTTCTGGCTGAGCCCAAGAGCTGTATTGCGAGAGACTGCATGTGGGGCATCTCATTTGTGTTTTCTGGGAAGAAAGGGAGAGTGTTGCTTTGGGAAGAGGCTTAACCTTCACACCCCAAGACTTCAGAACAGAGCAGCAGAGTGTTGCAACTGCCTTGGACCTGCCTTTCACTGCCAGGACCTTCCTGGGAGCTGTGACCCAGACTTTAAGGATGGAGTGGCTGCCTGCCTACACCTGTCTGGCACTTGCAGGAAAATGGCCAAGCAGGACTGTCCAGCAGCCTGTCGTCTTGCCACAGAGGGAGAGGAGGTACAGTGGAGAGCAAGGTTGAGTCAAGTGGCTCTGAACTTCTTCAAAATATCTCAGGTGTAGAAAGCTAACATTTTATTTGTGCAACAGTGAAATGGTTAGAGGTACCCTGCCCAAGCTCCCCATGGGTCAGGGCCTCTCTGCAGGAGAACCAGCTGATGCTTTACCAGCTGCCAGAAAGGCCAGGGTTGAAAAGCGATTGGCACAAACAGTCGTGTTCTGTGTGCTTCCCAGCCATATTTTGAGCTGCCCCTGACCCAACTCTTGTGTGCTGCTGGGCCTTGGCCAGGCTCTTCATCCTCCTTCGTGCCTCTGCAAGGTGGAGACTGGCAAAGTAAAGTGACAACACCGAGATCAGTGGTGGTTGCGTTGACGATGTTCAACCTCACAGACATTGTTTTCACAGAGATGAGGCTTCTGGCTTCTGTTACCTGAACGATGCTGTCTTGGGGATCCTGCAGCTGCGCCAGAAATTTGACCGTGTCCTTTATATCGATTTGGATTTGCATCATGGGGATGGTAAGGCCCAGTGCTGCAAACAGCACAGCTGCACAGACTCGGGGGGAGGGATGGGAGAAGTCAAGGCCTTTCAGGGCAGTAGGGCTTTACCTGCTGCAACAGCTGTGGCTTTGCCTCCTTTCAGTGCAGTCATATTCCCTCAATCCATTTCTCCCTTGTCCTGCTTTAGGGATTTGCCCTGTGCTGCTCATCAGGCCTCTTTTGAGGGTCTGGGCAGCTGTCTTGTACTTATAGCAACAAACTCTGTGTTCCTATTCCAGTAACCCCCTCTGCCAGTGACTCTACAGCAAGGACTTCTCCCAGTTTCTTGTCTCCCATCCCAGCAGAACAGCTGCTGACAGTGTTTGTTTAATGCAACCAGTACAAGAGGGAAGCAATCAATAGTAAATGGTGCTTTTAAAAGAAGGCTTGATGCTGTAAAACTAAAGCCAGAGCTGGCCTTCCTGAAACTGCTCTCTCCTTCAGGGACATTATTTCAACACCATTTAACATTTCCTGCTCTCCTAAATTTTCTGGTGTGTTTCATTTTGCTCTGTTCCCCCCTCGCCCCTATATTTCGTTTCTGTGAAGTTTCCTGTTACTTCTTTTTCCTTCCCCACCTCCACTATTTTAATATGTCTTTAAGGAAAAGGTGTGTTGAAACGCAGCAGTGCTGCAAAAAAGCAAAATAGCCCAGTAGCTCTGGTTCTAATCAGACCCAAGCTCTGGCCAAGTCATCCCTCTGCAGCTCCCTGCCCCAGCCTTGCAGGTGAAGCAGTGGAGGCAAGTGCTGCTAACATGGGCACTGACCTGAAGTATTTAGATCCCTTCAGTACTGGTTAGCATGAGACCTGTCAAATTCATTTCTGTTGTGACCTTTGCTGCAGTTGAATTCGAGTCTCTGTTGATTAAGGATGGATTTATTGAGCCACATCTGGTTTTCTACTTTTGTCATTCTGTTCCTGCTCTGCTTGCTGCCCCATGTTTATCGAGTGGCTCGTTGGTGTGTTTAGACTCTGCCGTTTATGTGAATGATGCATGAAAGCTTTTTTCTCTTCCCTTTTCTGACAGGAGTTGAAGATGCCTTTAGTTTCACCTCGAAAGTCATGACTGTTTCTCTGCACAAGTTTTCACCAGGATTTTTCCCAGGCAAGTTGAACTTGGCGAGGTTTGTGCTAATTCGGTTCATGCATGACTGACAAGGCCCCAGCAAAGGCATGTCCCATCCCTTCTGTCCAGCAGAGGTGTCTTGCTGCCTCTCCTGTTGACCCAGGAGAAGGAAAGAGGGGGAACTACATGTTTGGCATTTCTCCCTTTCTGGTTGTGGCTAAGCTCTGGGCTGAGCCACTGCCGGGTGACCACCTGCAGCCCTTGAAAGCTGCATGACAGCATTGGACAGAGAGTGAGAACCAGGTCCATCCAACCCATCCTTTATTGGTGGTGGCAAGTGGACTTCTCCGTAAGCGTGCCAGAGATCCTGATGCTCTGCTCTCATTTGATACATCCCACGGTTTTCTCTGCCTGCTGATCCCCTTTGCCTCGCAGCTAACCATGGGGCGTTTCTGTTTTTCAGGCACCGGTGATGTGACAGATGTTGGCCTGGGGAAAGGTCGCTATTACAGTGTAAATGTACCTATTCAAGATGGCATTCAGGATGAGAAATATTACCAGATCTGTGAAACGTAAGCCCTCCTGTTCTGATACAGTTTACTTGAATGGGATTTTAGAGAACAGAGACTGCACAAAATTTGTTTATTTACTATTTTTAATTACGGTGCTTCCTTAAGGCTTGCTGCTTCCCCTGTTACAGTTTTTGATTACAACGAACATGGATCTTAAGAGGTCTCAGAGATCTTGTCCAAATACCTAGGCAAACTGAATATACAGAGACATTTGTGGGTGACTGGAGGGTCTCTGCCACAGATCAGCCTTGTGTGTTTGAGATGCTGAGGAGGGACAAGTACTTTTTAGCTGTGGATCTTAGGGCTAGATGTTTTTTCTTCAAATAAGTGCTCTGAACCCTGATTGTCTGTGGGAGATATGCTTGGGGCTGAGCTAGAAGTGTTTTCCAAGTATTGTATGTGCTGGAAGAATGAAAGGCTGAAGGCTGAACGTCTGCCAGTGATTGAGCTGCCTCCTGGCAGGCCCCTCTATCACTCAGTTGGTGATTGACCTCCCAAGCTGTTGCCCATGTCAAAACTGGGCTGCAGAGCTTGTTCATATCAAAAGGAGAGGGGCCTCAGCGCAAGGCTGCCAGACGCGGTAGCACATCCACCTTTCAGCTTTAACACTTGAGGACTGAAACCTCTATGGACTTATAGCCCACTAGGGCAGTCATGCTGTGGCCGTGCCTGCTGGTAGCTTGTTGGTGCTTGACACTGCTGGTGTTACAGCAGCCTTCTTCCTGTTGGGGGACGTGTTTCCGAAAGGCAGGGCTGCTTTAGGGGCTGAATAGAGGTTAGGAGCCCAATCAGGAGTAGCCCATTGCATGCATTCCTGGTTGAAGGACGTCAAAACCTACCATAGGTTCCAAGCAGCATGTAACCAAAGCATCTACAGAGACATTTTGAGATCTCTTGGGCAAAGACAAAGAGTTCTGTTCTGGCTGGGAGGCAGTCGTGCATGACTGTGGGTGTCTTATCCAACTGATGTCTAAGGAGGATTGCCTGTGCCTCTCAAACCTGTGGTGGGATTGGTGAGCATGACTCCCTCTAACACAGGTTTCTGCAGGCTGACTACACCCTGCACAGAGCATTTCCTCATAGTATTCTGCTGTGTCCCCTGCTGCTGAGAGGAGACCTGCTCCTTGGCAGCTCTCTGCTCCTTACTGAGATGCTGCCAGATCGGGCATCTCCAGAACAAAAAGCCAGGGAGACACTGCGCAAAACAATCTCACCTCCCTTGGTGTCAGGGACAACTGCCTCACCACTCTCAGTGGAGGCTGTTCCGCTGCAGCACGGCAATATAACTAAGCGAGGAGGAAGTTTGCTCTTGGTGTCTCAGAGCATGTGCACTTTGAAGTTGCCTCTCTGTAAACTACAGCGCTTGTGTTTGATCGCTTTTGTTCTAGTAGATGAACTGTCCTGCTTTTGGGGTTGTGTGGCATACGGGTAATTGCCTGTTGTTTCTGGAAGTTGAATGACATGGCCTCCAATTAAAGTACATTGTTACTAATAGCTGCTGTGTGAAAAGGGGGGCAAAGTGTGATGTTATTTATTGGTTTATTTTCTGGAAAGTCTGGTATATTTAAAATTTTGAAGACAAAGGCAGCCAGGGATGAAAAGTTTCAGAGCTGCCATGAGAGTGACAGCACTAGAGCTGGATGCTGAGTTTGTGGTATGCTTTCCTCATGCAGAAATGTGCCCCAGGCATGTTCCCACTAGAAGCCTTCTCTCTGGGAGTCTTACCTGCTCATGTAATCTCTCTATCAAAAGAGAAAGTTACAATGGGTCTGCCTAATTGTAAGCATCTAGAATAGCTGATTCACTTGATCGCCTTCCAAAACTGCCCGAATTAAAATGAAAACACTGTTGTGAAAGGAACATGTTTTTCTCCATTATTTGCCTTGTATTGTGGGCTTTGGAACACAGTGCTGGGAACAGGATTATTCCCTTTGTGGTGTTCGTAATACTAAATATCTCCTGGAGCAAAGCCAAATGTCTGACATGCCTGATTGCCTTCTGCAAGAGAGAATACTTCTAATAAACTTATCTCCAGGGCACTGGCCCTACTGCATCCCAGCATCTGCTAGAGCTGGGGGAAATGTATTTCTGCCTCAAAAGCCATATGGGAGAGAGGAGAGTGAGAACCTAGACAGAGCCTTCCTCTGTTTGTCCTGGTGAGAGCTGTCATAGAGTTTAAGATTGTTGTTTTGCCAGACCCTGCTCTTCACTGTGACTTTTACAGGGGAGAAAAGCCCCTGGATTTGGCTTGCAGCCCTTAGACTCAGGGCAGCCAATGTAAATGTGTGGTTTGATGCTACCACTAAGCTGATCAGGACTAGATTCCCCTCCCCTATGTTCTCCGCGATGGTTTTGGCTTCATCAGCCTTGTGATGAGTACTCTGAGAGCTAAACTTACTGCAGGAGAGCAGTGGAGGCAGAAGGCTAACTAGGAGCAGAGAGATCATAACTGGTACGAGGGAGATGGGAGCAGAGAATGCAGAAACCTTGAGAGGTGTGGATGGATCTGAAGGACCAGGGTCATGCCACCAGCATCCCTTTGAACCACGACAGCGCTTACCAACCCCACTTCTCTCCACAGTGTGCTGAAGGAGGTGTATGCTGCATTCAACCCAGATGCAGTTGTGCTGCAGCTGGGGGCAGACACCATTGCTGGAGATCCCATGTGCTCCTTCAATATGACGCCCGAGGGAGTGGGCAAGTGCCTGAAGTACGTGCTGCAGTGGCAGCTAGCAACTCTCATCCTGGGAGGAGGTGAGTGAACGCACATCCTGCTGTTCACAAGGAAATTAGTTTTTCCTCCTGTGACCCTTCCTCGAGTGCGTGCCCTTGAGCTCTGCACTGACTGGAATTTAGCAGGGTGACTGCTGGGCAGTGTCAGGAGGGCACTCTGTGGTGCAGTACTGTTTTCACACAGATCTGAAATCCTTAGGTGCAAGTCTCAATCTTAATCCTAAAATCTTGAGTTAAAGGCTGCTTAGCTCTTCTGGGGAAGAGCAGAGGCTGTTAACCCTGATGAACTGACCCTGGCTTCTCAATGCACCTTTGATTCCCATCTCTGCAGATCAGCCCTTCAGCACTTCTCTTTAAAAGTGAGCGCTGTGTTCCCAAACCTACCTCGGGCATGTGGCAATGAATGATTTTGTTTGGATTCAAGCAGGAGCTTGTGAAAAGGACTGACTGCCTGCATGGTACAGCAGGGCTCTGATAGTGAAAGCTAAAGTTCACTTAGCTCTTCTGTGCTGCATAACCAACTGCTTGTTCAGTGGGGAGAGCACAGGCTTTATGCAACAGAACGTTTCAGAACCACAAAAGCCCACTGTGTGCCAGGGAGAGCCCCCCAGCTCTGTGCCTGGAGCCGTATCAGATCTAGCTGTTGTCCTTTTTATGATGAGGTCACGTTAAGCCTAAAATTCTATGTGCTTAACACACGTTGTTTTGGCAACGTTATGAGTGTTCAGTCCTGCTGTGGCATGTCTGTGGGTATGCTGAGGATGGCACCTTTCAGGCAAAAAGAAACCCTAAAGCCGTTGTCAAAAAATGAGAGACAACTGTTTGTCACTCGTGAAAATACCAAAGGAGTGTCCACCACTGCAGCTTGTGGAGGCATTTGAAGTGGAAATTGGGAGAAGATTCAATACTTGCAAAAAAAACCCCAACAAACCACAACCCAAGGAGAAGGGAACGTTTTAAAACATGGACTCTTTCTCTTTTCAAAGTGTTTTTCTCTCTTACTAGTTTAGTCATTTTTGCTGGGAAACGAACTTCTGAGTCTCTTACAGGATTGCTTTCAGCTATGGTTTCTCCTTGGGGGCTCACGTACTGTTACTGTGAAGGTGACCATTACCATACTGACTGTGAAACGTCATGTACTTGTAAAGCAGTGGCGAGTTGTACTACAGGGCTTCATAGGTGTCCTCTCAAACATGCCAGTGCTGAAGAACTCACCAGCAAATGGCTGGGCTTGTGTATTATTATGTATGGGTCAAAGGCTGGCATCAAAAAGCAGGAATCCCCTGTCTCCAATTCTCTGCTTGTTACCTTTGAACATGCCTCCTTGTTGCCAGAAGAGAGCCCAGCGCATGGAGCTGGGGGCTCGTGCTGGGTCTGAGATAACAGCTGGAGAAGCCTGGCCTGTGCCACACTGGGTGTAGCTGGGGTTCAGTTTGAGAGGTCTGCTTTTGCGTTCAGTGTCGTTCGGACTGGGCCTTGTGTAGCCAGCAAGTAGAAACTGCAGTTTTTGAGCACAGCTTGAGTGGATGAAATTAGCTGAATTCATGTAAACTGCGTGTGTTGCCTCCACTGTTTGTTCCTTCCACTAAAATTTCCTCCTCTCTCTTCCCTTTCCCCACTCTTCCCCCTCCAAAATCACAATTCTTGCTGGAGACAGGAGGCTACAACCTTGCCAACACAGCTCGCTGCTGGACATACTTGACTGGGATCATCGTTGGGAAAACGCTGTCCTCTGAGATCCCTGATCACGAGGTAAAGCTTTGACAAACCCTCCCTTCTCCTTGCACGAGAGCCAAGTCATTCTGCCCAGTGACTAAGGGTACCAAGAGACCTGCATGGTTAAAGGGGTAACTATTGGGCAAACTCAAGTGGAAAAAGAGAGTGTACAGATCATGGAAGGAGGGGCAGGCCACTTGGGAGGAATATAGGTCTGCTATCAGAGGATGTAGGGAGGCAACTAGAAAAGCTAAGACCTCCTTGGAATTAAACCTTGCATGAGAGGTCAAGGACAACAGAAAGGGCTTCTTCAAATACGTTGCAGATAAAACTAACACTAGAGGCAATGTAGGCCCACTGGTGAATGAGGAGGGTGCCCTGGTGACAGAGGATAAGAAGAAGGCAGAGTTACTGAATGCCTTCTTTGCCTCAGTCTGTACTGCTGGAGGCTATCCTGATGAGCCCTAGAACCCTGAGGCTCCTGAGGAAGTCAGAATAGAGGAGGAGTCTACCCTGATTGATGAGGACTTGGTTAGGGACCAGTTAAGCAACCTGGCCATCCATAAATCCATGGGTCCTGATGGGTGGGATTCACCTGCGAGTGCTGAGGGAGCTGGTGGATGTCATTGCCAGACCACTCACCATCATCTCTGCTAAATCGTGGGGAACAGGAGAGGTGCCTGAGGACTGGAGGAAAGCAAATGTCACTCTGGTCTTCAAAAAGGGCAAGAAGGAAGACCCAGGTAACTATAGACTGGTCAGCCTCACCTCCATCCCGGGAAAGATAATGGAACAACTTATCTTTGGTGCTGTCTCTAGGCATATCAAGGATAAGAG